AGAATTCAGTACCCCAAAAAGTCCATACACAAGGAAATTGGTGAATGAACATTCACCAATCTCCTCCCCAGCTTCCTTCCTGCTGAACCCTGACAAGCTGGTCCTGGGCACGTAGGAGCAGCAGCGGAACCCAGGTAACCCAGCAGGGGTTTCTGGCGGGGGGGGGGGGGGCCCCGGTTACTGGATCGGAGAATCGATGGGGGGGGGGGGCGGCACGGTTACCGGATCGTAGAATCGATTTCTGCTGTAAAGCCACCGTCAGCTCTACAAAACTGAAGACTTTAGCCGCCGGGAGTCTGTTTAACCCCTTCAGACTTCATGACGGGATCATCCTGTCATGGGTCGTGAAGGGTTTAAGAAATTCTCCAAATGAGAAACCAACACTTTAAGAGTCAATCACCTTGGACCCCTGCGGTGCTCATTGGTTCCTCCAGTTGACTTCTACGCCACTACAGGACACAATAGTGATGTGGAGGTCTGCGAGAGAAATTAGTGAGCACTGCGGAGGACCAAGAAGATCCTGGAAGTCTCGTAGCGGAGGATTTCTCCTGTGCAGCGTTCTAGCAGCGTGGACACAGTTTCTTCTTTTGTAGGTTTACTCTTTTCTGATTTTTTTTTAATGACAGGCTCACTGTAAGGATATGTATTATATCTTACAAAGTGCGGGGTCAGATGTATGTAGTATTCAACTTAGCATACAGAGTGCATGGGTAAGGCGTTTGTAATACACATTGCAGCATACAAAGTGCAGGTAATATTATGCTGTGTACTGGTTCTGAATATATAGTATATTGCGCTGAATGTAGTTCATAGAGTACAGGGATCAGGAGTATGAACTTTCCACACAAGCTAAATAGTTCAGGGATCAGAAGTAAATAGTATTTTGTTCTAAAAGATGTCTTTGATGCAAGTATGATCATATGAGTACTACAGGTGAATTTTCAACAGTCTCAACCTTATAGGGGGAGATGGCACCACTGAAAATGATCCATTCCTTCTGCACTGGCATAAGGTAATACTTAAGAATGCTACTAGGTGTAATTCAAATCAATTAACAGTATATAAGCCACCCAGATCACTTGAAGCTGTAGCAGCCGGCCCTGCCCAATGTCAATACTTGCTAGGAAGCCAACGGTCCTAGCAAGAGGGAGGGCCTGCACTGGGTTATGGCTGGCAGCAAAAACACCAGCCTCAGAGGCCAACGTAGTGCTGGTCGCAGATCATGGCCCAGACAGAGTCGCCACTCGGTCCATGTCTGAACCCCAGTCCACCATTTGTTGAAGGCTGATGTATACAGCCTAAGCAGCTTCTAAATTACGTGTCCTTATGAGAAGACATCTTTCAGACAAAGGCAGAGTTTCATGATGATTCCTGAACTGCACATTAAAATGTTTCTGCAGCCTTGAAATGGAAAATAAACATCAAAGCAAACTAACCTACACAACCTATTCAAAGAAAGAGTGAGTACTATGTCATTGTTCTTTCAGCCATACATGCAGACACACCATTGATTGGTGTAGGTGTCAGTGAAAATGTAATCTATATAAAAAATTTTATGTGGCAGTATACGTGCCACCTGATAGCACTCATACAGTAACTGAAATTTCAGTAAGAATCAATTTACATAGATTATTCTTCCTTTCAAAGGGGAAAAATGAAAATGTGCAGCTTTTCAATATTACGGCTTTACAAAAGTAATTGTAAATAAGAGATCAAATGTATCTGATATAAATCATTAATGTGAGTAATACATCACAGAGATATGCTTATAGCGTAATTTGGTTGCTAGCAGTAGATATATGCAAAAAAACGGAGGGTTTAGAACCCCTTTAAGGCTAAGTGCACCTTTCTTACCATGTCAGAAACATGGTCAGATTGCACACACAGGATCTGTGAATGGAAAAAGTCCCATCAGCAACAGCAGCAGAGGGACTTGTAGTTTCCAAGGAATATAGGTGCAGTGACATCACTGCACTTGTAGTCCATTGCCACTTACTCCCGTTCGTATTACTGTATGTCCATACCTTGGCATGGACGTAGATGGGAGGAAGAGTGTGCAGTGCAGGAGCCAAATAATTCCACTGATTGCAGTCACAATGCAAATTGTTTTCTTTTATGAAGAGTGCATTTATTTTATTTTGTTTTTGTAAAGGTGATATTTCCCTTTAGGTAAAAAGGTGTTTGTAGTTACCATATGTTGTAGTGAAAAAAAGGTCAACTATACAGTATATGGTCTACGAGACGAAATAGCTTTGCTTGACCAAAACGGTTTATAGTTGAGCTCTGTATCTATTGTCTTTTGTTACTTGCATTGAGCAGAATAGGTATGTATGACTTGTCTGTTTAAAATCAACTCATATGCTGTTTGAGTACATATATATAGTACCTGCTCAAAAGCAGGAACAATATATGGTAAAATCTCTTTGTAACTGATGGCCAGTCTTTCTCTTTCTTTCTAGATAAATGTTTTGCTCTATATTTGTCACACATAGCAAACAAATAATAAGAAGAATGCAGCATGTGCCAAAGTCACAGCATTTGTTGAAGGACGGACAGATACTAGTCTAGGGCTCCACTCATTACTAAGCTCAATGCAACACATGGGCAACTTCAGATGCAACATTGACCTTTCTATTGTTTTTCCCATACACATCATAAAACAGGATTCCTTAGTAGCCTAAATAAAGCTTGGGGAAAAAAAGTTCCGACAGTATTTTGAAAAAAATATATTTTCTGGTCTAATGCCCTTGCCTGTACATAGGTTTAAAAGTGACTGACCACAGCAACACTTCCTATAATACGTACGTCATATTTCTTAGAATGTTAACATTATGGTAAAGGTGTTAGTTCGCATGTAAAGCAAAGCCTTTTCAGTGCTAAGCTAAGGGAAAAAAAAAAAAAACTCCCACAGGTTTATAGATAGCCATGCCTATGCAAATACAGAAGTGTAAAATTCAATATAGGGGAACAGATGTACTGTTACTCTTATGTGATGTAATGTGGAAAAAAACACCACCCTAAATAGTTTGTTAAAGAGACTGTTACACTTTAAGTCAATTGCAGAGATGTAGATGAGGTAAGGAGATGATGTTCCTATAATAATATATCAAAAATTACCTGTCAATCTGCAGCTGTTGTAAGTTTCTAAATTGGTTTAAAAATTCAATGCAATATGGTGACCTGGAGGTATTCTTTAAACCGTTGGTGTACAGAATACCCTCAAAATGGTATTTCATGCTTGTGTAATTGGCTCACACTGACTTTCTCAGAGGTCTGCAACAAGATATAAGTAACATTTTATGCATTCCCTGCCAGTGTGGGTTCCATCAATTATAGCTGCTGTCCGCATCATTAAGATATGCTAATATGGTGGCCACACATGCGCAGTATTCTCCTTAAAATGTCATTAATTTGAGATTACACAGTCCCCATGCATGCAATATGGTTGTAAGACCCATGCATGTGTGGTAGTGGCAGTACAGATGGGCTGGTGTCCTAGCAACCAATGAACAGTAAGTTGTCAGATTCATGATCATACATGTCCCATTCTGTGCACTGGTGTCTCTCTGTACGCCAGATCAGAGTTGGTCTGAGTTGCCGCCAGTTTTAAATCTCTAAATTGTTTGTTTTAATATGTTGCAGCCATAGTGACAGATTCTTAAAGTGGTGCAATTAAGAACTACCTGAAACTCACAACAGGGCTTTTTTTTTTAATTTGGCACAGGACTTCTTAAAGGTCCACATCACCAGAAAAGTGCTGCTAAACCTTTATTGAGTTCCCCCCACTGTGACAAAGTTTAAATATTTTTTTGAAAATTTCAGCCTCGTACAGATCTATCAAAATATATTGTTCTTCAAGTAATAACCTCCAGTGACCTCTATACCCATTCCAGCAAATGTGTAAGAAAATGGAAATAAAAGATATCAAGAGTATCAGTGTTTCTATTATTTTATTATTTTTATCACAAAATAGAAATGGGGTTTTCTACAGAACAGTTGATTGATAACGAGATGTACAACAAAAACTTGTACATCCATTAAGTCAGAACATGTCTGCAGCTTCTGCATCACCAAGGCAAGATGAGTCCTTTTCGAGTCAATGAAAATGGCCAATACAACAGACATTAATGGAGTTTTCTACTGTCACAGAACTAGTGGGCAGCTTGTGCAAGTATATCAGCACATTCAAAGTGGATACAGTGAATAAAGTAGAGAGCAGTGGGTGTTCTATTGCACACACTGTGTCTGCTTTTACTGTACCTAGCACCCCTTATCTAGCTTCCCCATCTTCTATGGGGACACTTCTTTGCTATTATATTGTGAAGTTTGCAGCAGGAGAATTGATACTTCATGGCGGCCATGGTCCTGGAGATGGCCATCAAACAAACAAAAAGTGAGATCTCTTCCGCTTATTACAAAAGGAGTGGAACATTAATTTAATGCCTACATTTTATCAGCACGTGGTTGGCACTAATGTGCAGAATCTCTGATATAAAGACAGATAAACATAAACATACTAAACATATTTAAGTGTGTATCTTGTTTTTTGTTTTTTTGTCACATTGCCTTCTTACAATACTGAACCAGAAATGTAAAACCTCTGCTCTTTAGATCAGTATCAGATGGTAAAGCAGTGAAGTGCAATTTGTGTAAGAACTAAAATACTGTACAACTAAAATCATTATCACCATGATTTAACCCCTGCCCACCATAAAATAAAGCACCAGTGAAAGGAAAAAGAAAGTGGAATAATTTACATTGACCAGGAATTTATAAACTGTGACCCTGTCATAGCAGCAAAACTACAAGTCTTCCATATGCTGCCACCTGGTAGAGCATGGTGGCACTTGTTACTCCTCCATTTGCTGCCACCTAGTAGCTGTAAGAGCATGGCAGCATTTGTTACTATTCCATATGCTGCTACTTATTATTTGGTAGGTTACCTTTCAAAACTTATTGGAACGACTATCTGATTTCTGTTTGCTGCAAAAAAACATTTTCCAATAATACTTTTTTTGTTTAGGCAAATGTTCTTAACTTCACCACACTGGATACCAGGAGTGAATTAGAGAAAACAGTAAAACATATCTAAAAAGAAAGAGCAAAAAAACAAAACAAATTGCAATAAGACAATGACTGCATGTCAGTCAACTTCTGTTAATCCACATGGCCTTAGGAATTCTTGTCCTCTTTCATGGAACCATTTATTTGAAACTAAAAGGAAGAAAAACAACAGTATGAAGACTAATTAGTACTGTTAAAATGTAAAAGCAAGCCTCATTCCCAAATTTAACAACATTTAGGAAATTACTCATAACACAAGTCATATGTAACGTGTCACACATGTATAAAATACATATATAATAAATTTTTACTTCTTAAAACACACCTGGACTATTAGATAGGTTTGGCAGATGGTAAGGTGGAAGACCAGTACACTCGTATGCACCCTTACCCTAAATACACAACGGTAGGTTAAATGGCACCTGTCTAAATTGTCTCCGGTATGTGTGTACAAATTGGCTATGCACATGTGCACACATATTCTGCATGCAGGTCCCAAACCCATGTAAATGAAGAGTGTTGAGGTGTTTGTTTGTTTTTTTTCCTCTATAGGTTGGACTTGATGGACTTGTGTCTTTTTTCAACCTGACTAACTATATGTTGTTTTTTTTTCCTCTATAGGTTGGACTCGATGGACTTGTGTCTTTTTTCAACCTGACTAACTATGTAACTATGTAAAAACCTGTTGACCTATGCTGGAAACATTCCACCAAGAAAACTCCTTGGAAATGGCCCTCAAGTGCATCAAGTGCCCGGGGAGCTGGCTCACTGAATCGCCAAGAGTCAGGTGGGACTGGATGGATATCACACACACACACGACATGACTTCTGGGTTAATGTCAGAAAGCCTAATTGCCCCTGCCCCCTGCCACGAAGTAAGCAGCACTGGCAGTGTGGCACCTGTGATCGCAAAGCATGTCCAGTCATACAGCTGCTTTTTAAATGGCCCCCTTTAGAATAGCCCATCTGTTAAAAGTATTAAATCAGCCCAGTAGGCTTCATCATTAAGAGACTGAACACTCTGGTCATAAGTGAAGCACCATAGAGAGGACATAACTGGTCTGCCATAGATAAGAAGAGAGGCTTGTAACTAGTACACCAGTAAAGGAAATATATGTAAATTAATAGATGTCCTCAGGGGTGTAAAAATGTAAAAAAAAACTACTTGTGCAAGGACTAAAGTGGGGGCCCGATCTACATGTCCTGATACAAAAAAATTATTTTAACCAAAACGATATTTAGCAGTGCTAAGAAGAGCTTCTCATTGGTCAGCGTGGTCAGGTGACCGCGCTGACCAATGAGTGCTTGCAATTTGCGAGCGAAATTCAGAATACATGGCATAGGTACAGATAGTACCACCCATACTGGCGGACGGGAAGGACCGTTTGCTGAAAGGTAAGTATAGCAGGGAAGGAGAGGGTGCCAGATGTGTGCAGGTAATTCCATTTTCCCCAATTTTTCTGCTGGTGTAGACTTGGGTGATCGTGTGCAGTTGCATACAGTGGTTAACGTGTGGGCCCATTGATTTCAATTGGGTTACATCCTTTTTTCGTGACACGCACCATGCAGTGTTTTCAACTGCAATTATGCGTGATTACATGGGCGGTATCGTGGCGGGAAACCATGCAATCTGCCTAGTGCGACTAAGGTGCCATTAGCAAATAATGGCGCTCCCAGCGCGATTGGTGGTGGTGAGCAATTCTGTGACCGCCGCGCCATCTGCACGATTTAATGGACGATTGCTGCGCGGTCACGAATCGCCCACTCTGCTCACACACACAATGCCCTATGCATTTGTTTATTCGCATGCAGAGGGCAGCAGGGTTGGTTTTAATTTTTATTTACTTTGTTATTTTTTATTTATTTTATCATTTTTTACTCTAGCACCATATTATTTTTTACATTTTTATTTCTTTCCATGTTTAATTATTTGTTATTATTTTTTATATTTTTATGTATTTACATTTTAAATTGTTATTTATATTATCATTCTTTTATTTTTTTTGCTTGACTTTATTGCTATTACACAGGGGATAACAACCCCCTGTGTGATAGCTTTTGGTCCAACACAGCACTGTGCTTGTTCTCCTGTGACATGAAGAGGGGAGGGGGAGTGAGAAGAATCAGGCTGGTTACAAGTGATCTTGGACAGCTGTACAGCTGCTCAAGATCACCTGTACAAAATGGCACCCACACTACATTTAGCCCTGCTGCCTGCCCGAAGCAGGGCTAATTGTAGAAAAAAGTACTTGCCTAGCGCCCAGAACTGCTTATCCTGGGCCTCGGGTCACAGCAATTGCACACCCCTGTGTCCAGTGGCGTAACAATCGCCATAGCGACCCAGGCGGCCGCTATGGGGCCCAGCCAGGGCCGCTATGGCATGCAAGGGTGCTGGCTGTCACTGACACAGCTCAGCAGCGGCGCATTTCCCCTCAAAGCCGCTGCGGAGCTGTGTCAGTGACAGCCAGCTGCTGCGGCAGACGAGGGCGATGTTTGGAATGGAGGAGGCGGGGCCCGCCTCCTCTTACATCACTTGCCAGCGACCTAAGAGCAGGTGGGGCCAGTGATGTAAGAG